TTGCAGATGATACACAAGTGTACTTATCATTTTCTCCAGCTCAATCATTGCCTGCTGTTGATCTGATAAATAAAGACCTTGACCATCTCACTAAAGCGTCTCGTAACATATGCTTAGACTTGAATACTGCTAAAAGTACAGGCATGTTATTCGGGCCGAAAAATTGGAGAGACCATTGTGAACCTCTGGTGAAAATAAACCTGTAAACAATACTTTAGAAATAAGCTCGATAGCGCGTAATTTAGGCTTATACCTTGACAAAAACTTAAGGTTTGAGGATCATGAAGGGCGTATTGTAATTTAAAGACAATATACGGTCAAAAATCTTACATGAACCAAAAAACTAAAGTCATACTATGCAATTCTTTTGTTCTGTCGCATTTTAACTTCTGTCATGTCGTCTATGTCAAATGTCTAACTAAATTCACCTCTGATAAAATACAATGCGTGCAAAATTCTTGTCTGAGACTTATTTTTGGTTTAAGAAAATACGATTCTGTTTCATCAAAGCTTACTGATGCTGGCTGGCTGAACATGAAGCAACGCAGGCTGCTTCATAGCCTCGTACAGTACCATAAGATTATTATACATAAACTACCATCCTACTTACACGAAAAAATTCATTTCCGTTACAACAAAACAAAACTGACACCGCCTTTTCATTCTACCATCTTATTCGAAAGATCTTTTTTGTATAATATCAGTAAACTTTATAATAATATCCCGCGAGAGTATACTTCTCTTGCTATTGATTTGTTTAAAAAACGTATACGCTATTACATTGCAGGTAATTGCATGATATGACTTTGGAGTTATTATGTATTTTTATAGTACCATTTATCAAATTAGCCGCTAGGGTCCATTCGCTCATACTGCTTATACATACATATATTTTTTACCTCATTTATATATATATATGCTTATCTTTTTATGATGTAAGCCTAAAACCAGGGGTTAAGTGGAAGAGCGGATATGCCGAACTTCGCTACTCCCACTATATGCTCATATAAAACTGGTTCTGTAACTTGTTTTGTATTTTATTTTGTGGGAATAAAGACATTGTTATTATTATTATTATTATCGCTATTATTATCCTTATCCTTATACCCACCTGTATATAGCATAAGCATCTGAAGCGAAATATTTGCTTTATGTAAAAAGGCATGGAATAGAAATTATAACTTCACAAAAAGGACCGATTCATCGGAAAATATTAATACTTCACAAAAGTTTTTATTTGCTGTCTTTGCGAAAAACATCTTTATATAGACAAAACACTGCTGACTCTTCAATTCGCTGAAAGTCTAGCGGAAAACTTTTTGGAGAGGTATATTGTCCTTCGTAGAAGTGAGGTGAAACGGAAAGTGGGAAAGAAAAAAGTAAGCTTGACTGGATTTCTGTTGTTGAAACATTTTTTATATCAGCGGATGTATAAGGGGGTTCTCTTCAACAATTCGTTTGTATCACTTTCTATTAATACAGTCGACAAAGTGAAATAAACGGCTACGATTTAGAGATTGAGATGCTTCTACTCAAAGTTCAATTCGGTTTACAGAACTCCAATCTTCAATATCCTTAATGTAATATCAGAAACTGATCCTATGGTTTTTGTGAATACCTTATTGATCAATACATTTTTTATTTCTTGGTCTACTGGTCTGCACTCCCTCCCCCCACGTTGTAAGATGTTTTTTATTGATATTGAAATGAGTTTTGTAGCTAATGCAATATTCTGGTAGCACATCCTGAGAACAAAACATTTCTGAAATCTTGACATGCACAAAGAACAAACCCTCTTTCTGGCCATCTGTTAGAGCTAGTAGTAACAGTAGTATTTTATTCAAACATTGTCACTTTATCATTCAAAATTAAATGTGGAAAGTCATTTATGAAAAGAATAAATAACAACGGCCCCAACATCGATCCTTGCGGTACATCAAGGCGAACTTTCTATCAACCAGACACTAAGTTATCAATTCATCCAATAATACTTCTGTTCGATAAGTATGATTCGATCCAGTTTAAAGTAAGACCTCTGAGATCATGTGAATGTAGTTTTTCTCAGGCTGTCGAAAACTTTCGATAAATCAGACATACAATGAAATTATGATTAATAGTAGCATTTTATTCAAACATTGTCACTTTATCATTCGAAATGAAATGTGGAAGGTCATTTATGAAAAGAATACATAACAACGGTTCCAAACATGGATCCTTGCGGTACACCAAGGCGAACTTTCTATCTGCCAGACACTAAGTTATCAATTCATCCAATAATACTTCTGTTCGATAAGTATGATTCGATCCAGTTTAAAGTAAGACCTCTGAGATCATGTGAATGTAGTATTTCTCAGGCTGTCGAAAAATGTCGATAAATCAGACATATACTAAGTGACATATAAATCCGAACACCCAGTTTAAATGGTTTTATTTTAATAAAAGTTGGTGAATGTATTTATCTTACTGTAAATAACAAGTGAAAAAATTTTCAGCCTTATCAGTTGGACATTCCGGTATTTATACTGCTTTTTTTTAATTCACTAACGCTCTAAAAATGAATATTTCAGCCGCAGTAAAGAATCACCTTTGGCGGATTTTGGTTCTTGACATCCTTTACGATCGGTTACGATGCCTAGAGTGCGGAGACCTGTACGATTTCGTCAACTTAGTGAGTTTGATAGGGGCTGTATAGGTGGACTTCGGGAGCTGGACTTTCTCTTCGGGCAATTGCAGTTAGAGTGCAAAGAAGTGTAGACACTGTGGTTAGGTGTTGTCAGGCATGGCTTCGAGAAGGCCGTACGCAAAGAGTAAGGGGCACTGGACGCCGCCCTAGAACAACAGACCGTGAAGATCGCCGCCTAAGATTATTGGCCTTAAGGGACCGTTTCTCCACTACCAGGTCCATTGCAAGTGAATGGTTTGCAGAACACGGAAGACCTATTGGCATGCGAAGTGTTTACCGACGAATGAGAAGTTTTGGCTTGTTTTCATACCGGCCACACTGGGTCCTCCCTTTAACTCGAGAACACCGACGTAATCGCCTTGAGTGGTGCAGACAACGGTCTCCCTGGGATCAGGAATGGAACAGTATTGTCTTTAGTGACGAGTCTCGATTTTGTTTAGGCATGCACGATGGTCGTGCCAGGGTTAGAAGGCGACGTGGTGGAAGGAGGAATCCACAGTTTTTTGTTGAAAGACATGTTCATCACACTGTTGGAGTTATGGTTTGGGGTGCTATAGCTTATGGTTCCAGGTCACCTTTAATCTTCATCAGAGGTAACATGAACGCGCAGCGTTATATCCACGAAGTTCTAGAACCCCATCTTTTACCCTATCTTGACACCCTGGCAGATCCAACTTTCCAACAAGATAATGCCCGACCACATGTTGCAAGAGTCACAATAGACTTCTTTCAACATAATGATGTCACATTGTTACCATGGCCACCAAGATCTCCCGACTTATCCCCAATTGAGCACGTGTGGGATATGATGGGTAGGAGATTGCTCAATTTGCAACGTCCTCCTCAGACTCTAGAAGCACTTCGAGAGGAGTTGGTGGTTGCCTGGAATGAGATACCACAGGAGGACATTGACCACCTGATCAGAAGCATGCCTAGGCGCGTTGGAGAATGCGTAGTACGCCAGGGTGCATCCACACATTATTAAAGGTCAAAGGGCTTTAAAGCAGTGCAATCATTTTGAAATTTTTATCATTTACTTATTATGCTTCATTAAGTACTTATACAAAATTTTATTACAATAAAACCATTTAAACTGGGTGTTCGGATTTATATGTCACTTAGTATATGTTTCTCTCTGTCACGACAGCTGTGCGGTCGAGGTGGAGGGGGAACGGCACCGGTGCCGCTGTGTTCAGCACCGGAGCGCACCAGCACCAAGTGCCTGAGTTAAGGCATATATTACTCCAGAGATTCGTCTTGTCCAAAGTCATACCTGGAACGTCTAGGCTTTGGAATCGAAAAGAGAGACTCATAGATAGATAGACAGATGAATGTTGTGAATTCAATCTAGCATTGGATACGTCAGGAAGCTTAGCCACAGCAGTGAAGGAAATAATTAAAAATTAAATTATCATCATCAAATACTACTTTCATTTCATATCATTCATTTCATCGCATTTCACCCGGCTGGATGAAGAACGTGTAGAGTCGCTAATGACAAAAGACTCCCTAGGAAGCGTGAAATAAGGTGAACCCGTGTTCACGTTCACAAGGCGTATAAATGACGTCTGTAACAACGTCACGTATACATCGATCACGTGAGGTTGTTATGACAGCATAAAATGTAATGGATGGGAAGGAAGAAAATTTACCTTCGAGTGAGAGCCTTATACTTTCATTCCGCTTTTTTATATGTTTTAGTCCTCCTAAGTAAAACAAAGAGGATTCTTGAAAGAATAAATTAACTCGATACTGTCGCCTGCAGTAACGTTTCCAGATTTCTACGTTTACGTCCGACCATCTCCAAAAAGTGAATAAGTGGTTATTTCGCAACCAGACAACAAAGTTTACTTTTTCAACAGAAATATTGATCGAAACAAACAGTACGAAGTGTTATCTATTACCAAAGTGGACCACTGCAATTCTGGTAATAGATGGCGGTTTGTACTGTGTATTTATCCAAAAGTTGCAAGACCTGATAAATCTACGTTTGAAACGATTTAAATCTTACTCTTCAATTGTAAAATTTAAGTAGCATTTGCCACAAGGAAGAGGTTGGTAGGAATTCCAGCTCTCAAGATTCCGTTTTGAGTTCACGAAGCTTTCTTTGCTTCTAGGAATATGTTATGGATTATTATGAACTATTCGGTAGTATGAAATAATAATAACCACCTGCTACAAGCTGTCAAAAACAGTCATCCGAACAAATCAATGGTATCATCTGGCACTGATCTGTTATACTGTATAAAACTATCAGGAACTGTCAGCGTCAACTCTTATTTTTGAATTAGCACCCCAATTAATGCATTTAACTTACAACTGCCATCAAAGCACTCCTGATTTCGTAGACCCAGATGTAGCTGCAGTCGCTACCAAATCCGTGGATGAGCACCTTCGTTGGTAAGCTCTTGTTGAAGCCCTGCTTGGCCCATTCGAAGGCCTCGTCCATACGTTCAAACGGCACCTAAAACAGACGATATGGTTATCCATCTTATCTGAATAAATACACAAATATCACACAACTGAAGCAACAAAAAATACAGAGGCAGCACCATGTCAGTGTTACAATTGCACTAATGGTCGCTATGATGCTTGAGTCGAATTTAAATTCTTTATTTTCCTGTTGATGTTGCAAAAACTTACAGGAATTGTTGATAAAGCTTGAAATTACGGTTAAAATAACAGTGAAATACAACAGATGACAATAAAAACAAATTTTCGACACTAAACCTGATAAATGCTTGTAACAGGAAAATTCTGTAACAGTATAAAAACACTGTCAGACGAGAAACCTGCTCAGTTTTTTTAAGGACGTTTGTTTCTGACTTCACCTTATCTGGTAGGTTATTGAAAATTTTTAATCCTGAGCAATTTAGTAAGATTTGGCTGCATTTATAGTTAAGAATAGGTAAAACTCAAAAAAAAATGATTCGCGGATATTTCGAGTGTAATACGGAGGTGCACCGTCTTTTTGAAGCCATATTCTATCGTTGGGCACTCTATTATTCACTAAAAGAAAACAACATTGATATTTTTTATTGTTTCTGGTGATAAAAGCTACAAGGATTGGAAAATATTTCCGCTAAAGCTGGGACAACGTAATTCCTCAAAAGATCAATCTTTCAGCGTTTAAATTTTCATCCATTGAAGACGGACCTATGATACCGGCCAAAACATTAATTTTTTGTGGATATTCCCATACCTAATGAGGATTTTCCCTGGCCCAGTAGCGGCAGTTGATTCATCCGAAAACATTATTTTATTACAAAAAAATGTTCATTTCTATTACACATCATCTCTTGGACCAAGGTCACTCTGTAAGTATGTAATTTTTCCGTCTTTAAAATGCGTAGACATGTAAGATGTATTGTTATCTTCAGTGTTCTAGTAGAAACGTGGGAGTTCATGCTCACTAAAATATTCAAAGCCTTATTATCGTCAAGTCTGTTTTAGAACGGCCAAATAGTGGAACATCCCTTACATGTCCCGTTATTTCAAGTTTCCTCAAAACTTTTCCAGCAGAAGGTCTTGTTATAGGATTCCGGTTGGGATATTTGTCATTAAAAATATTGCAAACTTGTTGCTGTGTGCGTCGACGATCGCCGTAACCCAGAATCATTACAATTTCTATTCTCTCGGTTTGAGTTAAATGAATCATTCTCAGTAACTCTACTAACAAAACTCAATGGACTTTTGAATGTCAGAAATTACATTAAATACTCTCGATACCGGACATTACTTATTGTTTATACAGTTTATTGTTGCATAACTTTAAGATTCGATAGACCTTTTAAAACTAATGCATAAAGTCTATATAAACATGGGTCTAAAAATGCGTGGCTTCCGAAATACAGGGTGTTTAAGTTTACTTTCTAAAATAGTTTTTTTTAAATATTTCGAACAATATTTGATGTATAACATTGAAAATTGGTATACAAGGGTTTTTCGGTACGAAAAAACGAACCATGAGCATAATTTTACTGTAGACGCTAGAGGGCGCTCTCTACTGTACCTGTAGTGTATTAAAATGACCGAAAATTTTTTCTTAGTGCAATTTTTTGCTTTTTGAATAAAAAAACTGATTCTTCGCACTTTTCAGCATAAAAAAGCTTTCCTGTGAGCTTTTGTTATAGTTAGCCGTTTTTGAGATATTTCGATTTTTAAGGTTCGATGCATTTTTAATTATTTAGGTATGGGAAAATATTTTTTTTTACATTTTCGATTTGGGCATTACAAGTAATTAAGATGATCGTTTAGATTGTGTTTTTAAACACAGCAATAATTCCTAACTCCAAATAAACACAAAAAAACAGAATATTAATTTGTTTTTTCTTCCAATATTGTTTTTAACAAATTAAATTAATTATTTACAACTAAAATGCTATTGGATAGTTAGGACAAACATACAAAATCTAAAGTAGTTGCTCGAAATGTAAACCCAATTGTTCAATACACAATTCACATCTACGAACGTGGTATATCATTATTCAAATAAGGCCCTATTTCATCACATGCATTCCTGATTCTGTCTATTAGCATATCTATTGTGGTTACGGGAGTCTGGTACACTTTTTCTTTTAGAAATCCCCACACAAAGAAATCTAATGGATTTAGGTCAGGGGATCGTGGAGGCCAGGCGACTGGTCCTCCACGGCCGATCCATCTTTCTGGATAATTTTCGTCCAGCCAGTTTCTATTCTCGAATAATGAGCTGGACAACCATCAAGCTGGAACCAGGCCAATCTTCTTAAATCTAACATAATATCATCCCACATATTTGCATGTTCAGCCTTTAAAGATTCCAAGAAGGTCGCAGCATTTAATCTTGCAGGCAAAAAGTAGGGTCCAAATAGTCGATTACGGTAGATACCAATCCACACGTTCACACTAAATTCATGCTGAAAATTTCTTTCCCGAACTGCATGCGGATTTTCATGCGACCAAATATGTTGATTATGAAAATTTACCACTCCACGTCTAGTGAAGCATGATTCATCGGTCCGTAAAACGTTACTTAAAAACTCCCTATTATTATCAGTTCTATCAAGAATCCACTGACAAAATGTGATTCTTCGTTCTCCGTCCCCTGGCTGTAGTCCTTGCACAGGTTGCAAATGGTAAGGACGTCTATGGTCATTTCTAAGAACACGGTGGACATGGCTTGCTGAAATTCCCAAGGCACCAGAAACTCTCCTATCAATTGTGGTCGGATCTCTATCAAACTCACGCAGAATCATACAGGTAAATCTGCGCTGATCAACATTTATGTTTTGATCCCTTTGGAGATCTCCAAAACTATTTTCAATTATTTGGCTATGCACTCTTTCAAATACTGAGCGAGTTGGATGTCGTCTGTTTGGAAATCTTTGTGCGTATTGTCTGGCTGCTTCTGCTGCGTTTCCATTTACAAAGCCATACACAAAATGAATATCCGCTAACTCTTGATTGGAGAATAAAAATGGCATTTTTATAAAACTTACAAAAAAAAAACAGGTAAAAGAAACTAAATTTCGTGCATTCACAATTGCAAAAAAACGTTTCAGGTTTCAACAGACAACAAAACTAACTGTCAACTAATTGACGTTTAACCTTATTCTGCTTTCAATTTCAAAAATATTTGCAGGCACAGCCTACTTCTAAAAATTATCGAGATACTGACTTTTTAACGTTATTTTATCATAAATAATTAAAAATGCATCGAACCTTAAGGATCGAAAAATCTCAAAAACGGCTAACTATAACGAAAATTCACAAGATAGCTTTTTTATGTTGAAAAGTGCGAAGAATCAGTTTTTTTATTCAAAAAGCAAAAAATTGCACTGAGAAAAAATTTTCGGTCATTTCAATACACTACAGCTACAGTAGAGAGCGCGCTTTAGCGGCTACAGTAAAACTATGCCCATGGTTCGTTTTGTCGTACCAAAAAACCCTTGTATACCAATTTTCACTATTATACAGCAAATATTGTTCGAAATATTTAAAAAAACCTATTTTAGAAAGTAAATTTAAACACCCTGTATTTCGGAAGCCACGCATTTTTCGACCCATGTTTATATAGACTTTATGCATTAATTTTAAAAGTTCTATCGAATCTTAAAGTTATGCAACAATAAACTGTATATCAATATTTGACCGCGAATATTTTGAACACTATGAGGTCTACGTTAATGTTGATAAAAAGTATTCAGAATTTCTCGCAAAATACAAATATCGGATAAAATGTTTTTTTATTTATTCCATGAGAAAAACAAAAATTGCTATCAGTTTCGGAAAAGCTGAATATTTGGCAACATCGCGAATCTCGTCAACGGATTCGCCGTCGAACCTAAACATATAATTTTTTTAAAAAATTAGATAAGTCATTCGTCAGATATTCGATGCGTTCCAATCTTTTGTTACAATCTGCATGTACGTTGAGGTAGAACGACAGTACCTGGAGTTTAAAAATAAAAGACTATTTTGATTCTTCTCTACTGAATTCAGAAAAATAAATATTGAATGTACTTCCTCCTCCCCCTGAGAGGAATTGCTGCAGGCGCACATGATCGTCACCACGACCAACCCCGCTTAAATGACGATATTGGTATTTCCCGTATGCAGTGCACGCTTGTCCATCGGGGAACGACGTCGCACGTATCGACAGCCTATTGTAGGAGATACTTCCCTCTAAATATAGTTTCAAGAGTAAATGTACATCTATGATAAGTGAAATAATAATATGAGCGCAGAATTACTGGGGATGGAGGCATGTAAGTATATCAATGGCAAAAAATTGAGATATGCACGGTAAGTCTAACTTACCTCTGCTGGAGGTGATCCACTTCTTCGTCTACTCCTCCCTGGATACAACCAGAATTTGGTGCTGATTTCCTCGGGTTTGTTTGGCAACGTGTCCAAATACCCAAAGGGTCCGGATGCTTCGAAACATCCGAGATCTGGATAGCAAGCACTGGGAACATCTTCTCGCTTGATCCTGGAAAAGAATAGAAAGTAGATGGAAAAATGACGAGAGCGGCAATGGATCTAGCATGCAGTAGAACTTCATTAAAACCCTTAAATGGTCGATGTCTCTGCTGAGATACGGTCATATGGTACTGGCATGTATTTAAAAACCCATTAAAATGTAGCGAATTGGGCGAGGTATAGTGTGAGATACATTCACTAGCAACGATGTGTCGCCTATGCCGGTTCATTTTATTTGCAGTGGTCCGCATGGTAGGTGGTACTTTGTGTCATTGTTATGGATAATCAACAAGTTTTGACCCCGGTAAGCTCAATATAGTACAAATTAGTTATTACAGCCTCTGGTGTGTTCGTAATTATATAATTATGAAAGCTGATGCTTCCTTTGAGTCTTCATTGCTTTAGTTTTTCTTTGAATAAATTTTTGAGGTTAGTTTTTGTCTTACAAATGTGTGTATCCCTAGATGCACATTGCCCATTAAAAATAACGTAAGGCATTTGATACGCAATTTATGTTAGAATACATGGTAACTTCAAGAACTATTTCAAGGTATCGCTCCCCGCATATTTTACGGAAAAGCAGCAAATATTCCACATATTGTTGCTGTGCTACCACCGGACGATCCATGTGTACTATATCAGACGTTGGCAAATCATCAGATGAGGAGGAGCTGTTTGGCGGAGACTATAGCGATTTGGACCCCGATTATCAGCAGCCGCCCACATCTAAGAAGCGCAAATGCTTACCAGTAGTTGATACTTCAAGCTACTGGGAATCAGAAGATGATTTACCTTTAGCGAATTTTGTGCAAACATTGAAAGATAATGCTATACCAGGTGGTGATAAACGTTACACTTGGAGCAAAACAGATTTCCAACACATCAGATATCCAAAAGATGTCTTTTTTGCTGGAGTAGACGGAGAATATTCCCCTCTGGCTTATTTCGAAAAAATTTTTGACGATGATTTGTTTGAGCATATTGCACACCAAACGAATATTTACTCCACACTGACAACTGGGCGTTCTATTGATACCACAGCTAATGAAATAAGATCGTTTGTAGGAATTGGGTTGATAATGGGAGTAGTCCAAATGCCAGCAATCGAAGACTACTGGGCCATAGAAACGGGATATAGTATTATTGCCGATGTTATGCCTGTAAAGCGCTTCAAGAAATTGCGAAGACGCATACACTTTCAGGACAACAATACTGATCCGCAAGGAGATAGATTATTCAAAATTCGCCCCCTTATAGAAAAACTGCGACAAAAATGTACAGCTATCGAAGAGGAAGGTTTGTTTTCTATAGATGAAATGATGATTGCTTACAAAGGCAAGAAAGCTGGAAGTCTGCGCCAATATATGCCTAAAAAGCCAAAGAAGTGGGGGTTCAAGATGTTCGTTCGAGCAGGCGTGTCAGGGATTGTGCAAGACTTTCTCATCTATACCGGCTCTAGTACTTTTGACGAAATTCTATTTTCAAAGGAGGTACAACAAATGGGACTTGGTGCAAAAGTGGTACTTGTCCTGTGCAGAACTATTCAGAAGCCAGAAGAGTCTCTCGTCTATTTTGATAACTTCTTTTGTTCATTGGAACTAATTGAATACTTGAAGAAAAATAAAAAGTTGGCAAGTTTGGGAACCATTAGAAGCAACAGACTTAGAGGATGTCACTTGCTAAGTGACAAAGAACTTCTACGGAAGGGGATAGGTAGCTTTGATTACAGAGTAGACAATTCCGTGGGACTAGCGGTGATAAAATGGGCAGACACTAAATGTGTGACTCTGGCGAGTTCGTACATTTCGCACAGTCCAGTGTTTGAAGTTAGCCGATTTAGTAGAGAACAAAAGAAAAAGGTAAACGTTCAGTGCCCTCAAATAGTCAAACAGTACAACATTCATATGGGAGGCGTAGACTTATCTGATATGCTGGTTTCACTGTACATGACTCCCTTCAAATCAAAGCGACGGTATCTCGCTATGTTTAGTCAGATGATTGATATAGCTGTCAATAATGCCTGGCTATTGTATCGGAGAGATCTAGCCTCACAAGGCAAAAAATATAATAAGCTCAAAGACTTCAGAATAAACATCGCAAAGTCTTTGATTCAATCTCGTAACGTACCCAGAAAAAGAACTTTTGCTGCAGCAAACTTGCTCCCTCAAAACAAAATAAAAGTTCCCGTCGCTCCACGGCCTACTGAAGATGTCCGGTTTGACAACGTTGGACACTTTCCAGTTTTCACTGAAAAAGGCCGCTGTAGGCTTTGCACAAATGGACAAACAACAATTTTATGTCAAAAATGTAATTTGCGCTTATGCATCGTATTAGGAGTTAATCAGAGAAACTGCTTCACAAGTTACCATTCCAAGTAATCATGTTCCTCCTAGAGGCAATGTGCATTCGAAGATACAACTAGTATTTTTTTTTATTTTAATTTTTTTATCTAAACAATATTATTTTCTGTTGTATTTGATCAATAAAAGTTCAAAAAATTAGTAAGGACTTTTAATATAGACCTACTTCTATCGCTGCCCGTTTAAGGGTTAAAATCTTTTTTCTGGTCAGAACCCAGTGGCAGTTAACATAGGCGTACTGAAAACATTTCAGACATCTAAAATGTAAACTTTCTATGTCTAGTAGGATTAATAGAATTATTACAGATCTGGTATACAGGAAGTTCCAATTCCAAATGTTAATATGAAATTTATTTTGAAATTCCGCTACAAATAAAGTCAGGCAAGGACGGCTGGCCCTTAAGTTCTGCAGAGCTGTAGAACTGCCAAAACTTTTGTCTTAACAGAAAAAAGCAGTAGTAATTTGATCATTATTTATCTTACATGTTATCACACAAATAGAAACAATACCGGCCTGTCCCCGCAAGACACGGCGTCGAGTCTGTTTGTATTGAGAAAGCAGTATAATCGACCAATTGTGTACTTGTCATTTTCGTCGCGACCGCAGCGTAACATTATTCATGGGCCACTTGAAAAGGGTATGTGCACTACTTCGACACAAACCGCACACGCTTGCTTTAGTCTCTCTCTCTACAAAATCAAATGCGCGATTTAAACATAAGCATGTGCTGCAATTTATACAGATCCGTACAGATCTAATGCGAAGTACGATACCTGATTGGTCGGTCGGTGCTGGGTCCTCGGCATTGACATATTGGTCTTGTCGCGTGACGTGGCTTAAAATTTGAATGCGAAAAAGTTTTTATTCAGGTATTTTGGGTCTTACGTTACGTTGAGTGACTAGTGACTCACTGACTGACTGAGTCTGTGTAGAAGGGTAGTGCAAGACAATGGATGTGGTTTACAGACTTATCAGCGTGATACGATTCTGGAAATGCACATTTGAAGAAAAAATTGAGCTGAAGGTGTCAGGTCGACCGCTGCCGGACATATTTATAGAAACACAGGGCGTTAGTCGGGACAAGGGCTATACGCGGCATTTCAGTAGGGAGATTTACACCAGAAATGACTGGATTTGTGAGTGCAACAGGAAGAATGCCCCTTTCTGCTTTCCTTGCATACTTTTCGGGGGTGACAAAGCTTGGATGGAGGTAGGTGTTACAGATTTAGTGCACCTGAGTGAAAAAATTAAGAAGCATGAAAACTCTAAGACACATCTTCATAATTCGATGGAATTGGCTTTATTGGGGACTGTTAACATCAGAGCTCAGTTAGATTCAGCATATTGGAGAAATATACAACAGCATAATGATACCGTTATAAAAGACAGGTACGGTCTATCAAAAATAATCGATTGCATAAAATTTTGCGGAGCATTTGAATTGGCGCTACGGGCCCTCGACGAAACCGAGAGCTCCCAAAACCCGGAAATATTTCGTAGACTGACTAATTTTTCTGCTGAGCTTGATACAACCTTAAGCGAACACATAAATAATGCTACAATATTTAAAGGAACTTCCGAAGAAATACAAAAAAATCTTCTGGATTGTATTCTTGAAGTTTGTCATGAAGAAATAATAAAATAGATTAACAGAGCCTCGTATTTGGCGATAATAGCAGATGAAACAATGGACATTTCGGCGAAAACCCAACTGGTAACAATTGTCAGTATTTAACGGCGAACCAGTAGAACGTTTTTGGAATTATATGAATCCCGAAAAATGTGACGCTGATACTCTCACAAGACATATTTTGAGCGTTGTAGATCCATGATAGGAAATTTCTCTAACAAACTGATTTCACAAAGCTATGATAGAGCCGCGGTAATGAGCGGACATAATGCTGGAGTACAGGCAAGAATTAAACAAAGATATCCATTTGCTCACTATGTGCATTGCTATGCGCATCAGTTAAATCTGATTATGTCCCAGGCTGCTTCCGCAAATGCTCAAGTTCGGGTGTCCTTTGGGGATTTGAAAGATATTCCGGAATTTTTTAATAATTCTCCTCAACGCGTAGAGGTACTGAACAGGATTGTGGGGAAAAAAATTCCACAAGGAGCAACAACTCGTTGGAATTTTAATATTCGAACAATAAATGTAGTGTTTCAGAACAGAGAATCACTCATTCAATGCATGGAAGAAATAGAAGAAAATTTCACTAATGAAACCGCTTGCAAGGCAGCTTGAGGTATTCGCCGTATGTTAAACGATTCTGTTTTCGTGTTTTGGTTGACATTTTTTCATCATGTCATGCCTTACGTCGACATCTTGTTCAACCAGTTGCAGAAGAGAAAAACCGAGCCATCGCAAGTTATGTGAGAAATAAAATTGATGACATAATAAATGAAGCCAGGAAAAAATTAAATTTTGAATAATTTTGCTTTTTCCCGTCTCTCTCCTGAAGTACTTTAAATATTGAAATTTTCTAAGCGGCACTTTGTAAATTACCTGAATACGCAACTTTGCCTACGTTTAAGCGACTTCGTATCTATCACAGATTTCGAGATCCCAATGGTCAGAGTCGAACTTGAAACACCCGATATATTATGACATATAAGTATATCCTCCGAACCATGCTTCTGTCACAG